TTCCGTTTTTATGACTGGATTCTGCGATTCCGTCCATGTTTTCTGTATCGCGGAAATCATTGGGCCCTACTAATGTAGCAAATGAGTAAGATAAGCTCACTGTGAGAGTAAAAGACAGGGACATTGTTGTTTATTTACTTAGCACTGAGTCTCACCAACTAGGTGACAACGTCGCGTTAAATCACCATTCAACAGACTCAAGCCACCTACGCACTGCCGTCTATTGGACTGCAGAAAGATACTAACTTTTCAATCTGATACGTTACTGACTGTACAGACAAACTATGCTGACACCGTGTCTGCGCCGCAACAGGACAAAGCGACCATTGAAAATCATTTGAACTTTGTGTCAGCACGTCATAAATAGAACGAGCCATCAGTTTACTGCATCCAGTGTAGACAAGATCACTGATTATAATGGGTTCTATTCTACACCGGACGCGAGCGGCGCAACAAAATAGAATTGCAGACGCGTGCCGTGATGCGCAGATCAGCTGTAGTCTCTAACGTCACTGAATCTGCTGTTAAAAATGAGCCATCCATTCATCATATCATCATGCAAAACTAAGAATTAGAATCATTGTAATGTGACGATCAAATATAGGTGCAGGTGGGTGGCGGGCGGATAATTTGAAGCAGCGGACTTTTTTGTGAAGCAGGTGAAGTTTGAGTTTATCCGCGCATCTCTACACTACAGTGACCTGGGTCACCAGTGGCAAATATCTACTATTTAATCTGCGTTATATGTTCTGTAAAAAAAAAAAGTTCATATCGGTGGCATATTCGACATTATATCAGTCGATTCATATCGGCCGATAATATCGGTCGGGCTCTAATTATGGCAATGCAGAAGCTCTGCGCTGCCATATGCAAAGGAACATTATTTAATATTAAAAATGTAATAAAATGTTTAATAAAAATACAAAAGAAACATGCCAGCAGGATAGCCAGAAAGAAAATTACTTACTTGAAGTCCATAGCCTGATTTGTGATGTCTATTAGAGGTTGAGACATCTGATCGTTTCTCTTTTGACCTGGTTGGCAAAACAGACACATATATTGACATTGTTAAAGAACTTATTTAAATGAGGTACGCTGTCTCTCAAACAAGGAGCAAAGTGAGATTTATGCCAGCAAATTAATTGATTTTTTACCTATTCTTTGTGCCATCCTCATTGCAACTTGAACTCCTCTTTCTGTGCTTTTTCTCCTTCCTCCTCTCTTTCTCCTCTCTTTTCTTTTTTTGTTTCCTCTTTTCCTTTTCAAGATTGTGACGCAACTATGTTGAGAAAAAAAAATTAGAATGCCTTTTTTTAACATTCCAATTTAACTCCTGAATTTGAACTGAGGTAACAAACAACATGCATTATTATAAGTAAAATTTGATTTTAAGTACAATTTTTTTGCAGAATTTATCTTCATGTTGAATTTGGACATGAGGGAATTTTTTTAAAACCCTAAAATATAATACAGATTGAGGTAGTTAACAACTGTGGACAAAGTCTGACATTTCAAAATGACCAGTCAATTAATTATTTTTTAAATTTCTGATTTGCGTTGTAACTTATTGAGTATTGACACCACAATGGTTGATTAATGTGGCAAGATTTGTAGGCTTTACCTGTCCAGCATCCTTCTGGCACTGTCTTTGAGGTTTCTTCCTTCGCCCATTGACCTGCAAGTTTTCCATCACTAACCCTTTAAAACTCTTTATTCCACAGTTTAAGTTTTTCCCTATTAGTGCCCCCCACAATCTGTCTCTGCCTCCAAAATTGTCTGGCACAACTGACTTCATAACAACACAGTGATAACTGCTGTAACTAAAAAGTAGCCCATTACACACATTAACCTCAAATGTACATGGAATAATAAATTCACTCCTACCGTTTTATTACATTATGTTTTCTGTTTCTGCTGTTTAGGTTTTAATGCTGCATTGCACATCTGAGCTATTTGCACTTATTATTTGTATTCTTAAGCTTTACTATCAATTTGGAACTTTCAAAATAAATCTTATTGTAACGTTACTTGTACAATGACAAAGATATTCTATTCAATTAGCTCGTGCTCTCTCTGTATCTAACAAGCCATTGTTCAGTAATAAATTCAATGTAATAATTAAAATAAATGATGGATTTTGTCAAAGATGAGAGCTTTAGTGAGGAAATGTTGTTTTAGAGAGTTTTTTTTTTTTTGTTACCATTGCTGCCCGGATCTTTTCCAGATGTTGAAACTCCTCCTCAGTTTCTCCAATTCTTCTGAGTGTGTTCACTG